TTATCTATCTATGTATGTTTTTCTCCGTGCGTAGTAAGACGTCTATTATACGTCTACTGCGGCTTTCTTTCTTCTTTCTATCCATCCATATCTTTCCATTTCCTCTTTCCTTGTATGGATGTTCCTCAGCCGTAGACCCGCCCGTCCTAGCCTCCAATGCGCCTCTTCCACAACGCAGACTAGACCGCTCAGCGACGTATATATTAGGTACCTATATATTTTTGCAGTTCTGCGGAATCGTCTAGTGGCTTTGGGGTCTCTTTTCTTTTTCTTTTCTTTTTCTTTTTTTTTCTTCTTTTTTTTTTACACCAGGTTTGAAGAATTGGGTCGTGAGAATTACTCTCGGGATTACTCTAGAATGGGTTCTGGAATCACGTACGATAGATAGATAGCTACCTACCTACCTAGGTAGCCTTGCGGATTCGTCGTGAAGGATGATAAGTATTCTTACCAACGAGCAACACGGCGCCGTATATAGATACCAAGCCTGCTCAAATACGGAATCTCTACCTACACCGAGATTAGCGTGCTGATATGCCCAAATAAGACGACAGCCTTTTTTTTCTTATTTGCTTTACTTTTCTTGATCCGCAAAGCTCGTATACCAACACAGCGCTACGCAAAGGTCTGTATATCTAGTTCCTCTTAGAAGTAGTTGGGGTGGACTAAGCGCACTGTGAGGCTAGCTAGACTAGACCCCATCGTGAGATTTCCGTATATATTGCGGAAGAAATCCGCAGCCGTTTATTTCTACTTATTTTACTTATTTTGGATGAGACTAGATGCTAGCTGCTGACCTTGAGCCTCCTAAGCGCTAGTTATACGTACATGTACCCATGTATGATTGAGGCGGAATCCTAGGGTTAGGGTTATTGATAGAGAGGGGACATGATTCTTTACTTAGGCGGCTTAGAAGATGTTATGTGAATTAGCTCGTCGTACTACGCACCGATTAGAATAGCCGTTGGTATGCGTATCATGTATCATAGTCTGCAATAGTCCAATGGTTTGAGGGGGGCGATCAACGCCTATCTTTACGAATGTAGGCCCCGTGTTAGACAACCTTCGAGCCCTCAGGTATGAAGCGGATACCGGCAGAAATGGCATGCGTACTGAAAGGGGAAAAAACGTGGAGGGCTTGTTTGCTGGTATCCGTCTGGCTGTACGTAAGTCTGACATGCATAATATACAAACAAGTAGGTATGTATGTAGACGTGCGATGCAATGCTACCCACTCTGCCACTCTGCCACTCTGCCACTCTGCCACTCTGTCACTGTATGTAGCTAGATATAAAGGCCCACGGCCGAGTCTAGGCGAGCTGAAGCCACCAACTCTCACCTTCCTATTGCTGCACCACTAATCTTACCTTTGCACTGAGGAAATCTCCTTCGTGCCTGTAGGAAGCATGCCAATTGATTGATTAAGAAGCTGTGTCGGTCGTTAATCTCGTTGCCCAGGCCGAAAGAAATACGTCCCATTTAGAACATGTGATTTTTGACAGTCTTGATTTTGATAGTTTTGATATGCTGATGCGGTTATTGTCCCGCCTGCGTGTAATGTATGCGTGAACTGTTGTACGAGGAGGGTATGTAGTAGCTTGACGTGGCAGGGCTGCTTATTATCGAGTTTATCATCGAGGCGTTTACTTTACCCCTGATCTAAACGGCAACTGACCGTGATTGGGCAATAGACGGCTAATTTAGGACATCTCTGTGGCTTTGGCAGCGATAAAATTCCCCGGTTTAGCGCATAATTTATGAGGCTTGTGTCTTTCCAGCTTCATTTCTTTTAATAGAAACGTAGTGGTTGGTTCCTGTTCCTGGTCTAGAAGACTAACAGGTAATTACCTAGGCTAGGTATTGTACCTGGTTAGCTGGCCTGCTAACGACGGCGAGGGGTAAGGGCCTTTTACCTACGAGGCAGCTGCACGTAAACAACACCCCCGGGGACGATCCTTTCTTGATCGTTAGAGAGTTGAAGGATCAAATTGGAAGACTATGATTAGTCCGAATGGAGCTTAGTACGCCAACAACACGGCAGCCTGCTTCTGAAACTCCACGGGATGCACAATATGTACATATCGAGACACGAATGTAAAGTATAGGTAGTTTCGAGTCGAGTTGGCGGGCGAGCTTCGAGGAATTGGGGGCGCCGAAAGTAAGAAGAAATCGTGTTAGTATTCGTCAATTTGGCGGTGCCGCAGCCATGCTGTTGGAGAGAACTCGCGGAAAGCCTGCTTGGTTCGTTCGAGTTGGTGTTAGTGCTGCGCCCTGATTGGTAGACCACTATAGGAATCGAGATGCGTTCCTACATACATACGGTACCGGATGTTCAACTGCAAGGGGGGTCTACTTGATCCAACGCCTCCCCCCATGTTCCAATATGTCGTCGCCGCGCCGTTGTTGGGCAGCTCACCTCATTTATAAGTTGCCAATAATCCTTTGGGGGTTGCGAACCATTTTCCGCCCTCGTAATGCTTCTATAGGTAGTAGTTTACGTAGGAGAGTAATCGATCAGCTCCTAGGTTAGTAAGTTCAAGTCAAGTCGGTTAATTCGGGGCGAGTGACTGCGAGACGCACATACAGATAGTTGAGCTTGCCAGTGTCGTGGCCTGCGATGAGGGTTTGCCATACCAATAAGGAATCCTACACGTCCCCTTGGCGTCCTTCGAAACCCCAGGCTACTATATTCCCGACCGAATCCCTCATAATGTTTAATCTTTCCTCCTGAAATGTCAAATCGCCCCAATGAAGGGCTTGCGTTCGCCTTTCCCGCTGGTACTCGCGGTATTAGGATGTTTGGGAAGAATCAACTTGGTCGACGGGCATGGCCTCACCAGACGCGCCGTCGATAATCCCGGTCCCGGTGGTTTCATCCGACATAGATATCCTTCAGGTCAGCCAAGATGGGATTTCCTCAGAGAGAAACAGAATTTGGTCTAACTTCTTGGGTTTAGTCGTGCCGTTTGGCGATTACATCTACATAGATGGCGGTCAAATGTTTCAGCAGAACAACGGAAATGGGTCGAATAGCACTCAGTCGGATCCATACACTTCCTATCCCGGTATATCCAATAACGCTCATGTACGCATATCGCATTTGCTAATAGACGAACAGTGAACTCGACGCTTTCCCTCAACTTAAACGAATCATGGACGAATGAAACAGTCGAATTTCGGACGATCCCGAAAGCGGCGCCGCTTCTCGGGCAGCAAGTCTACTGGACCGACCACTCGTATAACCCGGGTGCCTTCTATGTTTGGGGTGGAAAGACGATGGACAACGGATCGCCGCCGGAGGACCAGCTATGGTATTTTAGTGCTGATGGCTCGGGTGGCGGGTCATGGTCACAGCTCCCGCAAGGCAATTATCGCGATTTCTCACAACTTCTACGTCCAGCCGGCGCATCATTTACCCAGAGCGCCAATAAAGGCTACTCATTTGGCGGCCTAGTTAGCCGGGAGTCCGACCACTCGATTCAGAAGGCCGATCCTGGTTACGCTGTGAAGGGAGTTGTATCATACGATTTTCAGACCAACCAATGGGCTAATCATAGCTCGGAATCATTCGGGGAGTACGGTACTAGCTTATACGGTTGTGCCGAGTATATACCATTCGGACCTAATGGATTATTGGTCTTCCTTGGTGGCACTCAGACGCCCGTTGACGTAAAGGGCGAGTATATCGACGGAGTCAGTTGGATTACACTCACGCTATACGATCCGGTAACAGGAAAATGGTATAGACAGAAGACAACAGGAGACCAGCCGCCAAAGATCGAACGAGCTTGTAGTGTCGGCGTTCGAGGGCCTAACAACACGTATGAAATGTAGGTCTATCCTTAGTACTTGGCTAGGTTAAGAGGTTTATATAAAGGAAGAAGATAAGCTAACATTAGTTAACCGGATTTAGATTCATTTATGGCGGCTCGTCGGTTGCCTATGGAAGCACCTTTCCCGATGTTTACGTACTTTCTCTACCTGCATTTGTTTTCTTCAGATCGAATTCTTCTGGTACACCGCGTGCTGACCATGGTTGCGCGGTGATCGGCAAGGGCAAGAGACAGATGCTGAGTTACGGAGGTGTTGACGCTGGCATTGACGCTAGTCTTGATGCTAGTCTTGGGCTTCGGGTTTCCAACATGACGGGCGATCCGTGGAAACAGGGTCTTGGTGTTTACGACATGAGCGAAATGAGATGGACAAGTTCGTACGATGTAGATGCTGCAGATTACGAGAGTCCCGCCGTGGTGAGGGATTGGTATGCTCAAGGGAATATGAAGACTATGACATGGGATAACGACGAGCTCAAACGGCTATTCGTTAACGGTAGTTCAAGCACATACGGTATGATAAACGACTCCACTACAACGGAAGATTTACCGAAAGACTCTCTGAGCTCGGCCCAAAAGACTGGTGTTATTGTCGGTAGCACTGTAGGGGGAGTAGTAGTGCTTACGGTCATCAGCGCCGCCATAGTTTTAATATGGCGAAGAAGACGTCGTCGACAAAGCAGCCGGGCCAGCAGCACGATAAATGAGTACAGACCGGAGCCGTGGCCGAAAGATTCGCCGCGGTTGCGGTCGACTACGCCGGGGACGATGACGACGTTTGTATCTTCGCAAACCCCGGTAGAACCAGTAGAGATAAGTGGTATAACGAGAGGGGAATTACCCGCGGAGGATGTGAAATGGACATACGAGCTTCCAGTTCCCACACCACGCACCACACCACACGCCACACCACGGCTGAGACCAGAGCTTCCAGATAGGAAGTTTTCACATTGATATTATTTTGTAAAAAGAATAAATAAAATATAATGACTTGTGCTTAGTATGGTTAGCTTAGATGGCTGGCTAACTTATTGACTTGTGAGGCGAAGCGTACCGAGATGAATCAGCCGTACTTCTAAGTTTTCTTCCTGTAACCTAAGCTCGCCTGGGTTTCTCATTTATATTTAACGCGAACTGAATCCCTCTTCTTGTGGCTTGTTCGCAGCATGAATGGTCTTGACCTTGTTGTATATGGTGGTGTACAGCTTAATTTTAAGTGAAGCGTGCCTCGAGATTGACTGCAGCAGATAAAAGACAGTCGAACCGTTCATTTGATCGGTCGTCCTTAAGTGGCCACGATGCCGCTACCGAAATAAACCGTCTCACTTCGCACCTCCGACCATTTTTTTCACCTTCTCGAGTAGTAACCCGCTCTCACGACCTAGTTTTCGCTGGCCGTCTCGACCTGGCATCCGTGCCTTCGCCATGGCTTTCCTAAACTTCTCGCGCTCTGCGATCTTACTTTCCCGCTCCGCATTCCGTCTCGCAATCTCCTGGGTACGCTCTTCAGCCTCCGCCTTTTTGCGGTCCCCGTCAGCTACCGCTTTGTCGAAGTAGCCGGGCTTGCGAACTTTCTGTTTCCGCTGGCGTGGGGGGTGGTCTCCTAACGGAAGCGGAAAGGAGGGCTCTGCTTGCTCCTCATCTACGTCTAGCATGGCCTGCCTCTCGGGATGGAGTTGGGGCTCTGGCGGCTCTGGCTCTACATCTACATCTGCATCCACAGTGGCGGGAGTAGTGTTAGGTTTAGAAGATGCTTGCTCTGCAGCTTTTATCTTCTTATATGCCTTTTTGACCTTTGCTTTATGTATGAGATCCTTCTTTATTTTATCAACTTGGTACAAATTTGAGTTAGCACTACAGCAATTTAACGAGAGTCTCATAGTATCAAACCTTTTCTCCTCCAAGGACCATCCGGTAAGTTTTCTGGGCCTACTCGAAAGCCTTTGCGAAGCTTTTTTGCTGCCGGTGTGGCTGCGGCATCCGATTCAAGAGATCTCTTAGGTGCCATGACCAGCGGAGAATAAGATATCAATTGTTAATGGATTTCCTAATCTTAAACCTAGGCCATGAGCATTTGATAGGTGATATGTTCAAAGGTACCTAGGTTAAAGTTTTATATGAAGGACAAGTTGAGATGAATATCGATAAGATTTAGTGGGGACTGAGCGCTGCAAAAAAAAAAAGCCGTTTCTGCATGCGCTATGTGACTTATCCACGGTGAACGTAGCAGTATTTTTGCGCTAACATACATGTACATAAGACCAGTGTTACCGGAAAACTAGCTCATTCCAGGTATGGCACGAGCCCTATTACCGGTCAGCCCCTGCCGAATACCGCCTCATTCTGGCTCATTCTGGCTTAAATTTGTCCCAAACTGGCCACGCTCTTTCCTGAATAGGCGTAAAACGGAACCACTAATTATGACGCTGAACTTAGTAACACCTCACTGTAGTCATAATATGATAGGTGAGGAAGGTCCGGATGATCAAGCGATCCTGCATTACCTTCCTACCTCAATCTCGTACACCTGTCTCATGATAATAGGACCTTCTCGCTTTTCACTTTTCACCTTTCAACATTCAACTCCAAATCGTACACGTAGTTATTTCCTAGTCCGAACAGAGCAATAATTACAGTCCTTTATCGAGCAAGACGGACCCCTTGCATCTCGTTCCATTCCGCTTCGGACAATCTAGTCAAATGAGTCAATGGAACGAAGACAACGAGTTAGTCACTGGTAACGGTTTATTTCTTAGCGACGTATAAGAAACCACTTCTCAATGGCAGTTGAAGATGTTCGAATGTTCATAACGTAACATCATCTTTCAAGTTCTAGGTCGACAACTGGGTGTACGATGCCTGCTTTCCAGGTAGACCTAGAGCGGAGGGAGTTCGCCAAGCAGTCGCCGACGCCCACCATGGCGCCACCAGCAGATCAATTCCACAACAATAGTGCTTTGAGGAGGAAGCAATCGGAGGAAAGTATCAGTACCGAATTATGCGAAGGTCCAATCCCAGACAGTCCAGCACCTCAAACGCCAGTGCAAAATTCACCGACCGAGTGTTCCGATAGATCGGAACTGATCGAGCGATTAAAGAGAGGCGAGAGTCCAACTTGGAGGCCAAGTCGACATGTTGGTAGTCATGTTTCACCTTATACTTTCCAATCTACTAACGTGGCTGGGAACCAGTTCGGATCGATATGGGGTCAACAGCCAGCATCTCCTACTCGAAGTCCAAAACACTCGCCGGCAGACTCGCCGATTCTACTACCTTCAGCTACAATAACCCCAGAGAGACAAAGCACCGATTCGAATGATAAGACAAGGCAGCGAGAGGGACTAAATATCGAGCGTCCTCGTTCAGCTCTTCATAGTGGTGACTTTACACATGACGAATCTTCTGAGAATGCTAGTGCCATACCAGATCACCAACAAGCTCAAAAGGGGCAAGATTTTGATGGTATTAGTGAGTCATGGTTAACTACTCCGCCTCTAAAGCTTGTTACTCGCTTCCCATTCGAAAGCCAGCAGATCTCAGCGAGGAGACCAGACGAGACGCACCCAGGTTTTTCTCCCTTATCTTCTTCCATTTCTTCAAGCTTCATCTATAAGCCACCTACTAGCCCTTTAGTCCAGTCAGAAAGTAATGACGATATTGATTTGACATCCCCTATGGATGGCATTGATATCAGTTCAAGCCTTTCTGTAAATTCGCGCCGGCACACATTCATGTCATCTTATTCAAATTCATACGCTATCCCCTATAGTCCGTCACCAAGACAGCCGCCTCCTCTACGCCAAGAGAGAACGTTTCCTTACCAAGCACATCAACCACGGCGGTCTCTCGCTTCCACTCCTAATTTCCCCACGGCTGCATCTTCACCGCAGACCCCTGCTTTCTTCCGGCCAAGACGCCCGTCGTTTAGCTCAGAAATATCACCCATCCAACATGCTTCAATGGTAGGGTCTTATGAAGAAAGTATCTTGCGCGGACGGATGTCTACAACCCCCTCAAAGCCTCTCGATTTCTTAGCTCAGATTGGCGTGCTCGGGTTGGGTAAGTGCAAGCCAAGCTTACGATGTCCGCCCCATGTGACATTACCTTTCCCTGCCGTGTTTTATAGTTATGCCAACTCCTCTCACGGGCGCTCTAAGGTTGAAGATGGGCCGAGTCCGTATGTTGGTCAGATTGACTTAGAGAATGGCCTTCCGAACCAGGAGGAGGAAGCGAGGTCAAAGCGAAAGATGCAAAGCCGGGTTTCAGACCGAAAGTTGGAAGACGATAAGACGGAAGTGGGCTACCGTCCCGCAGAGCCGTCGGAGCGTGACCCGCGCAGAGCTCAACGATCCAAACGTAGGTCCAGTTCTCCCAGGGCACCACCGGGTGGTAGCTACCGTATCCCCGAGAAGGGGCAAGTTCAGATTGTGATCAAAAACCCCAATAAAACCGCTGTCAAGCTATTTCTTGTTCCGTACGATCTAACAGGGATGGAGCCTGGTACAAAGACTTTTATTCGGCAGCGAAGCTATTCGGCTGGTCCGATCATTGACAATATGCCTAAAACGAAAGATAACGAGACCACAGACAGGCCAATTCTTAGGTATCTTGTCCATCTGCATATATGTTGTCCTTCGAAAGGTCGGTATTATTTGTACAAAAGTATTAGAGTTGTCTTCGCAAACCGTGTGCCTGATGGGAAAGAGAAGCTTCGAAATGAGATTTCTCTACCGGAGCCCAAATTCACTAGCTACAAACCGATCAGGGTTATGCATCCTCCTATCTCAGGAGGTTCTGGTCCCGGTGCCAGCCTGGCTGCCGATAAGGCGTTTAGACGACGTAGCTCCGGATTCCTGTTTGGCGCTCCCGGTCAAGTGTATGATACGACCGGCGGGGTTCTCCCGAGTCATACGCCGCATCAACCCTCTGTATCAGATTTTGCAGGTCATAACGCGCCAGTTGAACCAATGCCTCTCGGACATGGTGGAATAAGGAGCATAGTGGATGAAGCTAGCAACGCAGGTCCTGCTGACCCCTTGTCACCAGATTCATCCCAGACTAGCCGGCCAACCACGCAATACTCGAGCGATGTATCGAGTTGGGGTGGGCCAGACGCCCAAGTTGACAAATACAACAAACTTAATAAGGGTGATGTAGGCTATGGGGGCAATGCATTTGCCCGCCTGATTAACGGCAACACTGGTGTTGCTGAGGGCCTACTATCACAGCGATTGCGATCTCTAGGTGTTGATGGCCAGATAGACCAGGAGTCTGGGACAATAGAGGAATAGACCTTTGATTTTATTTATCCTTCCACTCCGGGGTTAGGATCTGACTATTAGGATATCTTTCATCGGCTTTGAGAAGGGTTAGCAAGGTCATATTAGGAGTAATTGGGCGCTATTTGGTGATGTTACATACTACCACGTGGGTTTTATCGGTCACACTGTTAACTGTTTATCGCCTCATAACATTTGTTGGTTTCAGGTCGGCATAATATAAATTAAATTCTCTGAAGTCTATTTTCTGGACGATTGCATCTCCATCAGTTAGTTCTATGACCCTTAGGCAATGTTTTAGTTACTTCGACAGAACTTCTCGTGGTGTAAACATCTTCATAGTCCTTTTCTCAATAAGGGCTCATGGCAAATATGCAGCTCGCTTATAAAATGGAATCTGTAGAAACTATCTATAATAAATTCTAACTCTATAACCTAGAGAAGCCGTAGCATCTACCTGTGAGTATTTGAGAAAGTAACTAGCATGATCACAACATGAAGCTTCACTTTGGGAATTGTTTATATGCGGTTCTGTTAAGACGGCTATCAACCGGCCACGTTCTCCTTTTAGCTACTATCTAACCTTTACTATTCCATCTCTTCAGTAAGGATTGTCCAGCCCCTAATATAACCTCCTGGCTCCTAGCTTGGACTACAATATGCATGTAGCATGCACCTCCTCGCTCCTCGTTCGTTAGTGCAAGGAATAGAACGGACAGGCTTCGTTTAGGAACCCATAAAGCATTTCTCCTTCATTCTACCCCGTCGGCAACCTTGGCCTGCCATCGCAGCTACAAACCTACGTGCTACTTGTCTACCCCGTAGGAATCCTCTCTATCCCTGGCCCCGGGCCCGAACCTCCAGCAGCCGAAGACACAGACCCCTGCCCCGGCGCTCTGCGCGGCCTCTTAAAGCACGCGAACTGGGCACGGCTCTGCTCCCTAAGCTTCTTCAGGACCTCTCTCATGCCGGGCAGCTCGTCCTGCAGGCGCGCGCGGGCCTGATTATCCGTCTTGGAGTCGAGCATGGAGTAGACCTCGCCTTGGATGGTGGAGGCGCGCTCCGTCGTGTACTGGCTCAGGGTCTGCGCGAAGAACTCGACGTCGAGCGTAGCCTGCATGAGCGCTCCTAGGTCGAATCTCGGGCGGGCCTTGAGGGATTCTAGAAGCTCGCGGCTGAGCTGCTCGAGGAGGTACGAGAGGACTTGGTGCGTCATGCTGGGTGCTGTGGTGGAGACTTGCGTGTGGACTAGGACTAGGGTGAGCAGGGCTTCGTAGACGTATGGTTTCACTTCTGTGGGCTTGGGAGGAGCCCAATTAGGGTCGGAGAGGCCAGCACGGATGATCTTCCGTAGGCTATCGAGTGATGGCCGGGTGTAGGATTGGAATAGGCGGGCGTCGATCTGGCCGAGGACGTCCTTGATAGTCTTGGATTCATCTGTGAGTTTGACGGAAAAGGCGTTCTCAAATTGGCCGTTCAGGTTGGGTACTACTTTAGTGCGTAGAGCGTGAAGGTTACCGAGCGTTAACAGCATACGGACATTCTGTATTCTAATGTTAGTCCTAATTTCCGCGGTATACTTTTAAGGGAACTCACTCTATCACCTGGGTCGACGGTCTCCGAGCCGAGACTCAAGGGCACCCTCTCACTGCCGGGCCTCACAGTTAGATCCGTATCGGTAGTCCATTCATCATCCGCCTTCTTGATTGCGCGTTCCGCATTTTCAACCATTCCGCTAAGCGCTTTATAGAGCGTCGTAACATACTGACTTCTCACCATCTGTAACAGCTTCGTCGTCGGTGCAGAGACAATATCCCCTGAACCCGGCTTAGACATCGCCTCCGGGATATAGAGAATCTTCTGCATCCCGGA